GGACTCAGGCCATTGTGCTTGCCAGGCAAGCACTTCTACTGAGGTATCTCCCTGGCCTCCTACATCTCTATCTTTTAAAAAACTCAGGAGTCTGAGATATTTGCCTAAAAAATAAAATAAAATATAAGGTATATGATGCTTTTTATCCTCTTAAAAAATATTAAAGCACAAACCTAGCAAGTCATATTTTAGATAAGAAGGCATTTGACAGGACTGAGCATGGTGGCACATACTTGTCATTCCAGCATTTGGGAGGCTGAGGTAGAGGACTGCCAAGAGTTCAATACCAGCCTGAGCTACACAGTGAGTTCAAAGCCAGCTTGAATTACATGGCAAAACCCTGTCTCAAAGAAAAAAAAAGTATTTGACACAATACTATAACCAAATGTACTATGACTGCAAATGTCAATTCTACTGTCAAAATCATTCAAATGAATTTCAGTTTTGTCTGCTTTTAAACCCACGTCTTGTAACAACCTTGCAAAATTTTAACAAAGCAAAAACAGAAAATGCTACAAAGGAAAATTATCCCAGGATTATTTGACTAAATGGTTCAGAGAGATCACATTACCACACTTGTAAAAATTGCAAAAAAAATTCTAAACAAATGAGTGTGTATGTGTGTAGATGGATGGATAGGGTTTTCTTTTCTTTTTTTTTTTTTTTTTTTCCTTTTTCTTTTTTTGAGACAGCCTAGTGTAGAGCCAGGAAATAGGCATGTGCAAGCATGCCTGATCACTTAGTAGTAATTGAAAAGTACTAGTTTTAAGAGCACTTTGAAGACAATAAAAGAGAAGGTATAATGTTGATTTTTTTTAACAGGTAAAAACCACAAATCTTACAATTACATCAAATCAAATAGGTAGGCTGGGGAGATAGTTTGGCAGTCTAAGCTCCTGCCTGGCAAGTGCAAGGACCCAGAGTTTGATGCCTGTGCTACATGCCAGGCCCGCCTTGGAAACCCAGCACACTGTGCTAGGCATGGTGGGGCATACCTGTAATCCCAGTGCTGGGGAGGCTGAGACAGGAACATCACTACAACTCTGAGCTGTGTAGTGAGTCCTTATACCAAATAAATAATTTTTTAGTCAAATAGATAAATATCTAACAAAAACAAAAACCAAGCCAGGTGTGGTATTGCAGACCTATAATCCCAGCAATCACTTAAGGACACTTAACGACTTAAATGAGATCCTGGCTCAAAATAAAAAATAATAACCAGACTAGGTCTGCACACCTGTAATCCCAGCACTGGAAGTCAGGAGAGAGGAGGACTGCCACAAGTTCAAGGCCAGCCTGGGCTATTTACTGAGTTCAAGGACAGCCTGAACTATATAGTGAGACCTGTTTCAAAATATAAAACAAACCAAAAAACTAACAATTTCAAAAAATAGTCTGCGGATACAGCTCAATGAGAAGGCTCAATATCTAGTCTCAGGGTGGGGGGAGGGGGAGACTGACATAAAAAAACCAAAACAAGGGTTCTTTTAAAATAGGATTATAGGACAGAATTTTCAAGAGCTAACAAAAGATGAAAATCAAAAATTTCTACACATGATTTGATTACAGCCTACATTTGATTACAGCATACATTTGTTTTCTTTAAAGAAAGTTTTTAGGGGAAAGATAGTTCATTAGAATAAGCGCTTGCCTGGAAAGCACAAGGGCCTGAATTCAACCCTCGGTTCTGGGGGGGAAAAAAAAAGAGAGATAATTTACATGAATAAAATATGTATGGTTTTCTGTCCATGTGTCATATGCTGACATCTATCACCACCATATTCATACCCCTTGTATTGGGAGTTGAGTTCATGCCCTTTGCAATGAACTATAACCATAAGCCCTTTTAAATTTAGAGACAAGGACTCATTAAAAATTATTGGGGGGGCGGTTTGGGGAGATGGCTCAGTAGAACAAGCATTTGCCTGGCAAGCACAAGGGCCTAAATTCAATCCCTGATTCGGGGGAGGGGGTGGAGGTTTTCAATAGGAAATCTGTATTCCACAACTGATTTGATGACCTTTACACCATGTTATTCTTCACACATCAAAGGAGTACAATGCTAAGAATTGATATCCAGCCATTATCCTTTGTAGAATTAATTTTCTGATTCTGTCTACTGTTTGATGATGCTTTTCTTTCTTTCTTTTTTTTTTCTTTTTGGTCTTTTTTTGAAACAGGGTCTCACTATGCAGTTCAGTCTGCCCTGGAGATCGCTTTGTAGCCCATGCTGGTCTCAAACTTGCAACAGATCCTCCTGCCTCAACCTCTATCCTGAATGCTGGAATTACAGGCATGCACCACCATGCCTGTAAGTCCAAGGTCCCAAGTGCTGGGGACTTGGGATTTAATGATGCTTTCTTGACAGCCAAAAAACATTAATTTGTACATACTCAGAAACTTAAATACTTATGCTGGGATTATAACAAATGTAGGTTTTCCAGATGTTATACAAACAAGGTAATAGAATAAAAGTAGACTAATGGTTTAAGAGATTGAAGATACACTGGAGTTAGGTAAGTGGTTTTGAGCATAGAACAAAAAATTATCACAAACACAAATTTTGTTCAACTTTGAAACAGTGAAAATTTTTTTCACTTTTTTTTTTTTTTTTTTTTTGTGATACCAGTGATCCAACTTGGGACCTTGGACTTGCTAGGCAGGCACTTATGCCACTGAGCTATATCCCTGGCCCCAAACAAGCAGAAGCTAGGATAGAAGAGTATTTTGTTGCGGGGAGGTGGCTTGGCCCGCCCTGAGGGCGGGGCTGGAGCAACATGTGGTGCCAGGAACCCTCCCCCCATGTGCCTAAGCTTTCCTAAGGTGTTTTTAAATCACTGAGCTATCTGGCCAGCCCAAATTTTTCACTTATAAAGAAAAGAATATAAAGGCAGTTTATACACATGGCCATTCAACTCCAAAGTCTTTTAACACTCTCTCTCAGATTGATCATTTATGCTCCTAACCCTGTAATTTCTACTGTACAGTAGTCCCCTCCTTATACATAAGGAATAATTTCAAGACCTCCAAATAATGGTTGAAAGTATGGGTAGTATTGAATAGTGTATAATGTTCTATTTTGCCTTATACATACACATACCAGTTATGAGGTTTAATTTATAAAATAGGCACAATTACATACTAACAGTAACTAGATGGTTGGTGAGATAGCTCAGCAGGACTAAGCACCTACTGAGGCAAGGGCAGCTATTGTGTTGGATCCCCACCAGACCCCACCCCTACGCTGAGCCCACCAGAGACCAGGCATGGTCTCTGGCACATGCCTATAATCGCAGTGATAGGGAGGCTGAAAGGAGGATCATACGAGTCTAAGCTGCGTAGTGACACCCTATACCAAATACATTTTTAAAAAAGAACATTTATCCTGCAATGAATATTAGTTAAGTGAATGTGGTTTCTCTTAAAGTATCTTATAGTACTATCATCACCAGATATGATCTTTCTTTGCATGTTTTAGGCCTTGATGCCGCCTTCATCCTTTTATCACTATAAATTGTACTGGACATCTTCCATAAAAGCTTGATTTCATCACACCTGAAAACTTATTTTTGAGACTGGGCATGGTGGTGTGCACCTATAATCCCAGCTCTTGGGAGGCTATAAACAGGCAGATCACTACGAGTCCAATCTAGTAGTGAGACCCTGAAC